AATAAAAAATGTCTGGGAGGAAGTGAGATTGAGCAAGGGGAATTAGCTGTATGATTTCAGTGATTCATGGCATGAAAATTTCCCAGAATGAAGCTCCATCACCTAGCATGGAACATGCGCTAAAGGGAACAAAAAATTATTTTCATTTCCCTTCCCTTTCCCTAATTGGAGTCTGGATGAGCACTGTCATCACCTCGCCCCTTAGATCTTCCTTGTCTATGCCTTGGATCACTGTCTCTTTTTCTTCACCCTGTATTTATCTGGAAGGATTGTGTTATTATTAACTGCATTCCATCTTACTAAATTTATAATAGTCTAGTGCTGCCTTCTGGAGAAAACATCCTGATTTTCTTGATAGAGTTTTGCCTACTTCTGATCTCCTTAGCCACCTGTTACTGGAAAGGGTTCTGATCCAAACCCCAAGAGAGGGTTCTTGGATCTCACACAAGAAAGAATTGAGGGTAAGTCCATAGAGTAAAGTGAAAGCAAGTTTATTAAGAAAATAAAGGAATAAAAGAATGGCTACTCCATATGCAGAGCAGCCCCAAGGGCTGTTGATTACCCATATTTATGCTTATTTCTTGATTTATATGCTAAACAAGGGGTGGATTATTCACGCCTCCCTTTTTTAGACCATACACGTTAACTTCCCAACGTTGCCCTGGCATCTGTAAACTGTCATGGTGCTGGTGGGAGTGTAGCAGTGAGGATGACCAGAGGTCACTCCCATCACCATCTTAGTTTTGGTGGGTTTCGCCAGCTTCTTTACTGCAACCTGTTTTATCAACAAGGTTTTTATGACCTGTATCTTGTGCCAACCTCCTATCTCATCTTGTGACTTAGAATAAGTCTGGGAATACAGCCCAGAACAGGGGTAATGATAATCCTCCCTAACTATTAGGGTCTCTTGTATTCGGGGTAGAGAGGAGCTCAGTCTGCAAATGTCAGCATGGTAAAGTCCATTTATAACTTAAGTTCTGATGAAAGGTGATATCTGGAAGATTAGTAAGTGTTCAGTTTAAGCACATTTTCAGTAAACTTATTTTGCAATTACTACACAAAGAGTACAACAGTAATATATTCCACAACAGTAAAGCAAAATAAGCAAAATTATCTCAAGTAAATTGGAAGGCTTTCCATGAACTGGGCAACTGTTGGAAACAATCTGTTATGGAGTCACTAGCCAATTCCAGTATTTGCCCAGAATTAGAATATTGATCCATATTTTTACATGACATATCCCTTTTGTCTCTTTTGAGCTGCAGTCTGATATCACTAATTGGTTCACAGGAATAAACAGGATTAGTCTAAATTGCAGGAAAAAAAGCTCAAAAAGACAGCTGATAAGACTAGAATTTAATAAAAGGTATTCCATACTTCTTGAAACATAATTTTTCTCTCTCCAGTTTTCCATTTATATTAAAGACAAATCATGGTAAAAATGATTTTCTTGCAAAATAAGCTTTAGGCTTATACTTGGCTTGATTATTTGTATAAAATGCAGGAAGAATAATTATTTTTCACATAGGCTTTTTAACTTGGCTTTGATGCAACTCTGTTCCATAAGGAATCTCAAATAGGACCTTTTTAAAGCTGAGTCCAGCCATGGGTTTATATCTGGAATTACCTGTGAGTTGAGTAAATTCTTCTCTCTTTTTTTTTTTTTTTTTTTTTTTTTTTTTTTTTTTTTTTTTTTGAGATGGAGTTTCACTCTTGTCACCCAGGCTAGAGTGCAATGGCACTATCTTGGCTCGCTGCAACCTCTGCCTCCCGGGTTCAAGCAATTCTCCTGCCTCAGCCCCCCAAATAGCTGGAATTACAGGTGCCTGCCACTAAGCCCAGCTAATTTTTTGTATTTTTCATAGAGATAGGGTTTCACTATGTAGGCCAGGCTGGTTTCAAACTCCTGACCTCGTGATCTGCCCACCTCAGCCTCCCAAAGTGCTGGGATTACAGGCGTGAGCCACCATGCCCAGCCAATTCTTCTCTTGAGGTCCCAAGATAACTTGCAGCTCCTGGACCTATTAGAAAGTGACATTCTTTACTTACCAGAGGTCAGAAGCCCTGCCCAGGGACTGTGTAGACAAGGTATGAGACCAGTTTTCCCAAGGGGCTTTTATTGGCTCTATAAGGCAAGTTTTATTCCTTAAAGGAAAACACACCATTCCAGTCAAAGCCTTGGTAAAATAACAGGTTATTCCAATTGTGTCCTGTTGCAAAAGAAAACAGATTCTTATTACACTTATGCAAATAACTATGTTGCCATAAGTTAAAATACTCACAAATAAGTTCCAATTCCAGAGAAGTCGGGTGGAGACAAATAAATATGCTTCAAATTTTGTTCCCAAGATTTTACTTTACTCAACTGTTAAAAGCTGTAAATAGTTCAAAAGAAAAGTTTACTTGATACTGAAAAACAACTCCATCTCAAAAAAAAAAAAAAAGAAAAACAAAACAAAGAATGAGCAACGTTTTAAGCAACAAGTCAAAAAGATCACTTCCATCTTCTCTTAGTTCAATGCATGCTTGATATTAATCCATGCTGTACTGCTTGATATTTATGAACACTTCAGCTTTCCATTAGAGTCCTGAAAGGTTTTTTTTTTTTTTTTTTTTTTTTTTTTTTTGAGACAGAGTTTCGCTCTTGTTGCCCAGGCTGGAGTGCAATGGCGCGATCTCGGCTCACCGCAACCTCCGCCTCCTGGGCTCAGGCAATTCTCCTGCCTCAGCCTCCTAAGTAGCTGAGATTACAGGCACGTGCCACCATGCCCAGCTAGTTTTTTGTATTTTTAGTAGAGACGGGGTTTCACCATGTTGACCAGAATGGTCTCGATCTCTCGACCTCGTGATCCACCTGCCTCGGCCTCCCAAAGTGCTGGGATTACAGGCTTGAGCCACCGCGCCCGGCAAGTTTTTTTCTTTATTCTAATGTCATATCCCAATGTTATGAGAAACCTGCATTCAAAAATGCAGGTTGTTAGAGTCCTTTAGCTGATTATAAACCACCTTTTAAAGAGGTTTAAAATAAGATAACAAAGGTGATGGGGATGGAGGCAGCAAACCACATTGCCATGTATGTACCTATGCAACAATCCTGCATGTTCTTTACATGTACCCCAGAACCTAAAATGCAATCATATATATATATGTATATATATATATATAATATTAAAAATAATAAAAAAACAAATAAGATAATAATTTTCGGTGGATGACAAAATGTCTTAGGGCAGCCACAGTCGAAAAGCATGATTGACAAAGAAATTTCATTACCTCTGTGGCAATGTTGACAATGTTTCCTGTGTGATTTTTATACCAAATAATCCAAATGTCATTTTTATATTCATGTAATATTAATGTTAAACCCTATCCTTCATAAAACTTTAAGAACATAGCTACCCAATTTTAATGTTTGACCGAGTAGATTGTGGTTCACAGATCTGGGGGGAAGCTAAGGGACAGTATCATGGAATGATGCCCAATCACAGAAATCAAGTGAATTACCCAAGGAGTCATCATTCTTAAGAAGCTTTAGAGAGAGAATCCAGGTAACAACCCACGAAAGAATGTGCTCTAAGGCTGGGCGCGGTGGCTCACGCCTATAATCCCAGCACTTTGGGAGGCCGAGGCGGGTGGATCATGAGGTCAAGAGATCGAGACCATCCTGGTCAACATGGTGAAACCCCGTCTCTACTAAAAATACAAAAATTAGCTGGGCATGGTGGCGCACGCCTGTAGTCCCAGCTACTTGGGAAGCTGAGGCGGGAGAACTGCTTGAACCCAGGAGGCGGAGGTTGTGGTGAACTGAGATCACGCCATTGCACTCCAGCCTGGGTAACAAGAGCGAAACTCCATCTCAAAAAAAAAAACAAAGAATGTGCTCCAGAGTTTGGATCAGAGCCAGGGCCTGGTGATTTCCTTATCTGCATATATTTATACTATGAATGTGTGTGTTTATAAATTGTATATATTTTTCTAAGTTATATACTTTATATATATATATGCTATCATTTTTCATGAATTCTTCCATAATGTAATTTTTTTTCTTAGAAGCAGGGTCTCAGTCTATTGCCCAGGCTATAGGGCAGTGGCACAATCCCAAAGCTCACTACAGTCTTGAACTCAAGTGATCCTCCTGTCTTAGCCTTCCAAGTACCTGGGACTACAGATGTGTGCCACCATGCCAAGCTAATTTTTCAATTTTTTGTAGAGACATGGATCTCACTATGTTGCCCAGGTTGGTCTTGAACTCCAGCCTCAAGAGATCCTCCCACCTTGGCCTCCCAAAATGTTGAGATTACAGACATGAGCCACCACACCCAGCCTGTAGCTTAATTTTTTAATTCAGCAATGTTTGTGAGATCTATTTAGGTTACTGCAAGTAGCAGAGGTTCATATTTGTTTCAACAGCAGTGCCTTTTATGTTGTGGGCCTAGTTTTGGGGAGGAAGGAAGAAAGAAGGACGGAACCATCTAAAGGTTCTGACCTGTTATGGACAGTGCAGATTGTGCACTTAGTGTTCCAAAGTGGTGACCCAATTCACTCATCAGTCAGCTGCAAGAGTGGCAATGTGATGCAGCTGGCAGAGAAAGCTAATTGTAGTGGAGAAAACTGAATTTGCATAGAGAACCAAGCATCACCTAAATGTAAATAATATTTCCTGGTTAAAAAAAAGCACTAAATAAGGATTTAATAAATGCGTCTTTACTGTTGTTTACTGTTTTAAAATATAGTTTTTTGAGTTAGGTACAACAAAATTGCAAAATTTGGGCAGTTTTACAAGTACTGTCGGAAAAATAGCCTAATTAAATTTTTCTCTCCTCTTGTTTTCTCCACCGTCTTAGTGTTTTCTGCATACCGTCCCAGTGGATCTGATTCCTGTTCTGAAGAATTGAAGTTGAGCATCGTTAGTTAAATTCAGCTGCTGCCTGACTATACACCACAGCAAAGGCTTTGGATATATTTTTCAGTTAAAACATGATGACTTTCTTGGAGTGCGATCCCAGTGGAGGCTGTTCTATGTATATCCTGAAAGAATACCTAACTACCAGCAGCAATTCTGCAGAGACCTTGTAAAATCAATTTTACACCAAACAACTGAGTGAGTCTGAGTTGGCTGGGGGAATCTTAGTTGTAGATATCAATTCGCACTCTTGAAGATTCAACTATTGCTACTGAGAGCTGCTGCTGATACCATGTCTAAGAACTCCGAGTTCATCAATCTGTCATTTTTATTAGATCATGAGAAGGAAATGATCCTGGGAGTCCTAAAGAGAGATGAATATTTGAAAAAAGTGGAGGACAAGAGAATAAGGTAGTATTCTTTTTATTTTTTCAGACCTCTTTGACTGCTTTCTGTTTGTTTGAAGCAATTTAGATCAGAAATGGGGCAAGTGCAATCACACTGGAGACAGATGTCAGTTAGGAACTTCATGGGTTCTCAGCAGTAGCCCAAACATCAGAAAACTTCTTTGGTGTTTCACCATTTAGCCAGACATGAGGATGAAATTTAGCTAATAATAATGGTGTTGAAGAGAGCACTTAATTTGCTAATAAAGTCATAATTTCTAATGAAGAGGAAGGGCTACCCAAGTTTGAGTACCAACTCTGGAAAATATTAGTCATGTGACTTTGAGCAAGCTACTCAACCTCTCTGTGCCTTGTTTTCCTCATCGGTAAAACATAGATAATTATAGTACCCACCTCATAGACCTGTTGTAAAGATTAAGGAAGTTTGTACATGTGTAGTGCCTGTTACCTAAGTGTTCAATAAATGTTAGCTATTATTTATTTGTAATGCCTTTGTCAGATCAATTTACCGGGTATTTGCCTCCCACACAGCTGGGAGAAGAAAGGGACCTAGAGAGTAAAAAATTCCCATTATACTCCAGAAACCACTTGAATTTTTTAAAATAAGTTTCTTTTGACGAAAGTTGAATGATATGGGCACAGTTGAGTTTCATATCCACTGTAGGCAGAGCTCATATTTTAGCTGGTTTCCTGTGTATGACTTCACTTAGTATTTCATCCAGCATCAATTCTGATTGGTTGCATCACCTGCTCTAATTGGTCACATCATTGTTCTGATCATTTGCAACATCCACTGTGATTGGCTGCTGCCTGTAATGTTTTTGTTTTTTAATATATTTGTATTACCCCTCACCCCAGAAAAAAGGAGCAGAAATAGAGTTCCCTCCTCAGTCACTGCCAACCATGCAATGTGTAGTTTTTGTGTCTTGTATGGCTTCACAAGCCACAATCAGAAGCTTATATTTATTTTACCTGAGGAGAAAATGTGTCAGATTATTATCTTCACATATTGCAAAAATCTTTAATGTACCTAAAGCCACTAGCTTCTTTAGAAATGGAAATACATTTAAATATTCTTGATTGATGTTTATTTCACAGTTAAGAGCCCAGAAGATTCATTTCTCGTTTACCAAGATACTCAACTAATCTTGAAGAAACAAAGGTTTTGATAAAAATTATTGTACTTTTTCTATGCCTAGAATTCAGGTGGCAATAAAACATAGCTAATGACTTTAAAGAAATCATGAATAATATTTTTGACATTACTAGTCAAGTCATTAAAAGTAACTAAATTGTGTAATGCACTGCAAAAAATTATGTTGTTTATAAGGGGTGGCATATTAACTAGGAATTGATGACATTCTAAGGGGAATTAAAAATCACTTTCTATGGGAAGAAACGATTTAATAACTAGATCCCCAGAAACACTGAAGTACAATGAATAGGACTTCATTCAGAATATTTGTTTCTGTCATTATCAAGAACTTGTATTAATTATTATACCCTATATTTCTTTTTCTCATTCAATTTTTCTTCCCTGGTCTTTTCTTATTCCCTATAAGTAAATTCAGCTAAATTGTGTAATATACAATAGAGTATCAAGAATAAAGTCATTGGTTTCCTGGCTCTTCAAACTTTTTTGAGGGTAGCATAAGAAAGGCTCTTTATAAATGCAAGAGATACTTCTATAGAAAGCAGATTTTCTAAAGCTATGTCTTGTCTCTTTGTTCGATCTGCACTAACTGCATTAGATGAGTTGTCTCATTTTGTTCTGAGCTCCTGTAACATGACTCAGGCTCCACCACTCTTAACAGCTTGGTGTATTGAGAAGTCATCCCAACGTGGGTGGCATGATGCTGAGGGTGTATGCTGTTGAATCACACAGCCAGAGTTGAAATCTTAGTTTTGCCATGAAATATTTGTGTCACTTTAAACAAGATGCTTCCATAGACAAATCTAGTTTCCTCATTTTACAACATAAATATTAGTGGCCTCATAAGATTGTTCTAAGGATTAAATAAGCTAATATTATAAACAGCTTAGACCAATGCCAGCATACAGTAAGCACTCAAAAATTGTTGATTATAATTATTAGCCCTATAGTTGGTTTGTGTTGCCCTTGATTTACTAGTTGGAGTGAACACTATCAGTGGTCTATTCAGATCCCCTAGAGTCCCTCTCATCTCCTAGTTTTCATGCACTTTACTTCTAAGGACTTGAAATACAAAATTTCCTTCGGCTGACTGGAGTTTCTCTAGTATTAAAGAGACACAAGTGCCAGGCAAACTTGAGTTGCTGACAGGTACAGAAATCCTTTGCCTCAAGGCGGAACAGACTGCAATGCAACTTAAGCTCCAGAGCTTCCCATGGGATGATGCTGAGGCTGGACTTCACCTAAAAATCACACCCTTGGCTTAGCCCTTCTTGCTACCTTCTCCTGCCTCCCTTACTCCCTTACATATTTCTCCTGAGAGCTCTGCGTAAGTTGCTTGCACACAAATCTACATAGCAGAATTCCTTTCTGGAAAAACCAATCTGAGACACTATGAAGTTTGTATTACCAAAGCTGTTGCTATTTAATAAAGTTCATTTCAGGGGAAATATAAGTCTGAAAGGTGAACATTAAAGTAAAAGATTTTGGCTCATTTGATTTACAAACTGTGATCTTCCCAACAATTTTTATCACAGTCATTGTGGTTTACATACTGGTAAAGAAAAAAAAATACAAGTGAAATAAAGAAGCCCAAGATTAAGTCAGATAGTACAACTTCCTGTTGGCTTTTCTCCCTTTATCCTCCTCTGAATCGCCCTCCTTTTATTATGAATTTAAGTGAAACCTAAATCAGTTTAGGGTAGCTTAACTCTAGTCCAGTAGGTCTGCATGGCAAATAAATTCTGTAAACATTTATCACCTATATTATATTATATGCGATGCTGGACTCTGGAGAAAAGACAGGATGATATTAAAAAAAAAAAAAAAAAAAGGTGACCCAACTGGTATCCTGGTATAGAATTTAGGGGCTCTGTGAACTTAAGGAAAAATTATACTTTTATTTTTATCAGGCTTAAGTAAAATTTAGCATCTTCTTCAATTATGAATGTAGAAAATATACCATAGTACAGTAGTCCCTCCTATCCACAGGGAGTATGTTCCAAGACCCACAGTGGATGCCTGAAACAGCTGATGGTATAATTTGAGTCTGAGTCCAAAGGCCTGAGAAATGGGAGAGGTGACGGTGTAAGTTCCAGTTCAAGTCTGATGGCCAAAAGCAAGGGAAATCTGATGTCCCAGCTTGAAGACAGAGAGAGAAAATTCATTCTTTCTCAGCTTTTTACTCTATTCAGACCTTCAGCAGATTAGATGAGGCCTATCCATATTGGGGAGGGCAACCTGCTTTACTCAGTCTACTGATTCAAATGTTAATCTCATACAGAAACACCCTCACAGAAACATCCGGAAATAATGTTTAACAAAGTATCTGGGCACCCAGTGGTCTAGTTAAGTTCACACAGATTCCTTAACTGTCTCAGAAATTTATATAAAACTGGCTATAGCCCCCATTACCACACTTTTGTGAATTGTGTAGCTCATCCTGGCTCTGTATCCCTGCTTCTGTTGAACTCTCCTCTCTCCTTGCATCTCACCACTTATGGCTATTCCTTATTCTTGTCTTTGCCAGGCCAGAGAATGTAGTCCTTTTTCCTTGATATCCTCCAAAACCATCAACACAAGAAATTTAGGTGGGTAGCAGATTTTATTACAGCAGTAAACTTTTGGTGCTTGCTATTACAATACTTTTCATCATGCTACAGAGGTATAAATTGATATTTTTGGGGTAGTCTAAAGGAAGAAGTAATTAATTATGAATAACATAGAAATTGAAACAATGGTTTCACACAGAAGGTGAACATTTGTGCTTGCCTCTGAAATGTGAAAAGTCCTTTTCACGTTGGCAACTATAGGTCAACTATGTTTTGGCTGTTTACCATGAATCACAAAACCACCTTCAGACTGTACTAATCAGTTTCAGAAGAAAATGAAAATCAAATTTTTTTTAGACTTATAAATATTACAAAGAATACACTTCTGAAAAGTTGGTAAACTGGAGTTTGAGAAGCAGTGGATTTATTGTTTGTTTGCATGTTTATTTGAACAGGTTGTCCTTTGAGATTTAAAAAAAAAAAGTAGAGGAGTGAAAAAGTGTAAAAATTGTACTGAATCAATATTTTAGGCCTGACACCCAAATATGCTTCACAGTCCACATACCCACTAAAGTATGGCATTGATTAAGGTGAGACTGGTCTTTGGGGACTCATAAAGGTGCTCCACCTTTACGTTCTCTGTGGAGAACAAGTCAGTCAAATTTATTGACAGCTTTACTGCCCAACACCCAGAAGGCACATGACAAGCCTGATAATTACCTCCAGGAATAAATCATCAGCTGGGAAATAGGTATCTGCCTACTACCATTGCATTTTAAGTTCATTCAAGAGGTTCAAATATATTTACATATAGTCTTCTCCTTCAGACTAAGTAGGAAGGAATGGTAGAAGATAGCTAGACACAGGTTTTCACTATTAGAGGGTGAGAGTATTTTTAACGTTCTCTATGGAGAACAAGTCACTCAAATTTATTGACAGCTTTCCTGCAATGAAGAAAAAAAGAAATGTGAATAAAATTGAGCTATCAACAATTATTGCAAATGGATTAAAAATACTGACAATTTGGAAGCACAAAATGGAAATCATTGTTGATTATTTCCTACCTTAAATTGCTTTTCACTTCAAAAGAACTCAGACTAACATGTAACTGTACATGTGTCATAATATGTACCCCAAAAAATTCTCATTAACAAATTTTTACTCTATTTGATCTCCCACACCTAGAAACAACTACTGTTAAATATCTACTTTGTGATATTGACTTATAGTTAAAAATCCTCAACTTATTAGTGACTATTCCATTTCAGCAGTATATTGTGAGCTTTATTCTCACTAAGGGGA